ACAGTTGGCTGTCATTGCATTACAATAGACAGTTAAGTCCTCACATACTTGAAAGCTCCTGGTCTGAGGCCAGTAAATCAGTAGAAGGTCTCTCACTGACTTCAATAAGGGTTGGATCAAACCTAAAAAGACATGCTCTATCCCCTACCAGTTCCATCCCATTTGTCTTCCACACATCAAAGTAGAGTACCATCTGGTTTCCCAACCAGCTGTAGAAATGTCTGTGCTAAGACCAACAGCAACACAGCCACCACTGTAATTTAGTTATTGGTATCACACATCATTTCTTCTTGTGCAGGGGAGGTGGCATTCCTGGTGGAACAACCACTGAACCAAGTACTGTGAGCAAAGGCATTCTCTTATCTTCCAAAGACACCAGAATCCATATGGCCATGGATTTGACCTAATGAAGATGATCTCTCTTTCTCAATCTGCACATGGCAATGATAAATGAATGGGGAGAAAAGTTACTGACAGAAACAGTAACTTTTAATTCCGACAGAATTCCTCAGCTTGCATTTTTTGTAGAAAAAGTGCAATTAAAAGCACAGCTGATGGGTAAAGGATGGAACAGAGAACATTTTGGCAGCCCCCATGTACTGCTATTAGCTGCCCCCCAATTGCTTCCAGTATTCTCCCTCCATAATCAATAAGAATGAGATGCCAGAGTGGCTGCCCTTGTGAGCAGCTGCATCACCACTGTGGGTGCACAGCAGTTACTACTGACCCTGAACTCAGGCCAAGCAGTGGGCTGGAGTGTGAAAGCACACCCACCTCCTTTGGTCCTCCCCTTTCAACCTGTGCATCCACCAAACCTGCCATCTCCAGCAGGAACGCCCCTGCATGGCACGTGGGAAAGCAAATGAGAGCAGCTGCTCTGCACCTGGGACTGAAATCCTGGCAGATCTCATGTGTTGCTTAATAATTTTGCATAGATCAACAGTTTTTGAATAGTGCACACTTCATTCTGTACAGCAGGTTTTTAAACTCCCATTGTACATTCATGGATCATTGCACCTTTTCTAAGCCACAGCAATTGTCTACATTGTTAAACCAAAATGTTAATGTCTTCCATGCTGGCCTTCCCTCGAGTTCACTGCATTTCAATGGGGGTTAAATGGTAAAAACACTCTAAAACTTCAAATATCCATTCACATCATTACAAGCTGTACCTAGTGTCATCTCCCTCCTCCCTCCATTTCCTGCTTCTCTTCATCAGTAGTGTTAAATCTACAGAGAAAATGAGCAGGGCCTTCTTCAATAAAACAATAGGGTATCACTAACTCTGTGGTGTTAATTGCTGCTGAGCTGCTGTTGAAATGGTCTCATGTTGTCCACGTGGAGCTCTGTGCATCTGTGTAATTGGTAATCCCCTCCACGAGCCTACTGCTCAGACCCTCATGGTTTTCTGGTCTCTTGAACACACAGCACCTCATATATTATCTGTTTTTCCAAATCTGTGCTTTCCTGGACAAAGGGGGTTTCCTTTCAATCTTGCTTCTAACTCCTCGTCATTCCGTGTCAGACCTGAGTATAAATTACAGTTTGTGTTTTGTACACAAGGACTGTGACTGTCTTCTGTTACATCCCTTTCATTTGGCCTCCTTACAAAGCTGAGGGTGAGGTATGAGCTTTGGAATTGAACCTGCATGCAAAGATGAACCACAAGCAGGCATTTAGTTGTTTTCTTGTCAGTTCTCTGTTTTACCTGTTGACCCAAAGGATATATAAACTTTTGCTGACCTGAACATCCAATAGTTTCCCACTTACTCTTTTGGACTGGTAGCTTTTTGTTCTGGATTAGTCTAAAATGAGGAGGCTGTGACAGACTGTACAGGGCAAATTGTGCTTTTTACAATTACTCGTGGGGATTGGAGCCAACCACCTGCTTCAAAGCCCAGAGAGGTTAATTGCAGCTCTCTTTGCCTTGACCTGCATACTGGAGCACATCACGGCCAGCCTGCCCTCCTGCTTGCAGACTGTCTCAAACAGCACTTTCTGGTTCTGTCAGGCAGTTGACAATAGATGGTGACAGACTGTTTTAAACAGGCTTGTTCTGTGCATTTTAGATGAGAGGGTGGCATTCTGATTCTACTCACTGTGTAATGTTTGCAGGAGAGACTTAACAGCCATTTTCCTTTTTGTTCCCTCAGAAGCAGCAGCTCAAAAGAATTCTCTGTGTTAAGTCACCTGCTAATGCAGCTCTGCCCATGTTTCCCTGCTGTGGCAGAACTTGCCCCATGGCAAACCTGTGCATTTTCTGATGTAAACAGGGATGCTCTCCCCAAACCCCAGCAGCAGGTCATACAAGTTCCCCTTCCAGCAGCATCATGAGCCACTTCTGGCAGTCAGAGTGTGGCTAGAAAAGTATGGAAGGGACTTTAAAGGAGAGAAAGTGAAGGGCAACATTTGTTATAGGCCATTGGCCAGAGCTGGCACTGAGTCCCCAAAGCTCAGTGTGTGTTTCTCAATCCCTCTTTGCTTTGGAGCATGAGTGCTGTTAGCATGAAATCACAGCTCCCATGTGAGACCTGGAGGAAATCAGTGTTCTTTCCTCAGTGTGTAGCAGGTCCCAAGTGAAATAGGAGTACTGGACATTTTCTATACACGCTCAAGGTTCTCATTTCCTTCAGCTGAACCAAACTTACGTTCAGGTAACAGTGGCTGTAAGGTTAGAAAATGAAACATGGCAGTAGTTAAATATGTGTGAGTGCAATAGAGGCTTCCTCTTTGAGCTTTAGTCTAGCCTGCTTTATCATGGGATTCAGGTGGATTCAGCTGGCTGCAGTTGTTTTCATCCTTACTTGTACAAACTTAATTTTCCTTTAAATTATCTGGTTTGCTTGTACCTAATAGAGTAAACCCAAATTCCAGATAAAGAACTGACACAATAATGTCTCTCTCTTCAAGTTTTCCAACCTGGGTTGGATTATTTTCTGGAATATACACTTAATATACACTTAAGTGAATCAAGAGCTCTGAATGCTACACAAGACCACTGGGTGAACTATAGCATAGTTATGTATACTGATTTGTACTTACCTCTTGGTCAGTATATAAATGACCAAATGTCTCTGTCTAGACATATAATCTGTGAAATTTGTAAGCCTAGACTTATATTTTTATAGCTACAATTAATGCCCATCTTTCAGTTCCCTAATTTAGCACCTTTCTTGCCTGCTGTAAAGAAGACAAGAATATTTGAAGCAGCAAGAAGAGAATCTGAAATATTAGCTGTTGTCTTGTCAGATATTAGTTATTCCCCTGATCCGGTCTTGATGTTTATCCCTCCCTCTTTGAGTTTTCTTAATTATTTCTGTCTTGTATTAATTCTCACAAACTCCCTAGATGTAGGCTTTATGGTTTAGAATCTCAACTGCTCATTCAATTAATGGGCTTGCTTAATGTGCTTAAACTTTCCAGAGACACTTGTGACACATTACAAGGGGGGAAGAAAGATTCTGAATATGCTCCATCTCATTTGTGGTACTCTTGAGCCTGGAGTCCATTTTAAGCTCTATATCAGATTATCTAGATTTATTATTTTTTTATATTCTTGTACTCATTAAGCATTTACATGGCAGGAGTATTCTCTCCAGAAGAATGACTTAGTTTCCTTTGCCCCTTCCCTCACCACCTGACTTAGCCCCTTTGTAAAGAAGCAATTGGTTGTAGTTTCAGTACATGGAGTAGGATCTGAGAAGCTGACTTGAAAATGGCAAATGTGGAAGTGCAGCTCTTTTCTTTTATATATGAGTACTGCATATTTTTTGAGCAAAACAAAATGGCTGCTAGAGATCTTCTGTGATTTTTCTTGGCTCAGTAACCCCCAATTCCTGCTAATATCTGAAAAGATTTGAGGTAGGTGTGCAGAGGAAAGCCAACCTGTGTTTCAGCATATTCCCCACTGAAGTCTACATGAGTTATCTCAGTAACTCCAGGAAACCAGAATTTAAACACTGGCTTAGCCAGGATCCCTGCGGATCCGAGTCCCAGTGCATTGTACAGCCTGACACAGAACAGTCCTGACAAGAGAACAAAGTCCATTTCAGTAACACAGCTACATCTCATGAGCTGTGGGTTTAAAAGATTAAAACCACAGTACATGGACTCCATTAGAAACCATCCCCTCTCTCTCTCTCCCCCCAGCAGAATGTAAACCTGTATATAGATACCAGTACATGTGCATGTATATACATATATATGAGCACGTTGTACATGAATCTAAATGTCTGTATGTGTATATAATCTGAAAGTATACACACATTCATAAATATATTAGGAAATCCTACCTCATGGAGAAGGAGTCTCATCCTTCCAGGGTGCAGGTTAAAGGTGTTGCTACCTCGTGTTCTTTGTATAAATAAGATCTGTGCTCAGGACCTTCATTTTGTGCCAGGGGATCCCTGAAACCAAGAGGGCAGATGAGTTGTAGTATAGAGCCCACATACTTGTTTTAGCAGTGATTTCATAGAAAGACACAAACCAACTATGAATACATTTTGTTAAAACAATTACTGAGAAGTTCTAAAAGTTAATGCTTCTGCTGCACTTCTGCTCATGAGCCATACGGGGATCTTTGTCTTTCAGCATTACAGTGCTCAAGGAAAAGGGAAAGGATTCTGGTTTATGGTTCTGAGTCAGTCTTTTTCTTACTAACATATGGCCCCATTTTTTTCCTGGTTCTTTAAGCAAGTTGTAAACATAAACGTTGATGCACATGGAGTTTGATTCATGAAGAGTTTAATTTGCCTAGTATAAAAGATTCACACAGGTTATATAACATCATTAAATTATTTTTGTAGTTTGAGTAGTATTCTTTGAGGAAAGCAGAACTCTTTCCCTGGGGTCCATTTATCACTGTTTGCTCCTAATTAGAAAACTGAAAATGCAATATGCATGACTTACATTTTCAGAGTTGTCTTTGGACTGATGTATCATTCCCTTTGCTTCCTCAGGAACTTTTATTCATTTCCTAATTTTTTTTTTTTTTTTTTAAGGTTTCTGACAGCTGTGACTCCATCTTCGTTAATGGCAAGGAAATGAAAAGCAAAGTGGATACTATTGTTAACTTCACTTATCAGCATTTTACCACCCAATTAGAAGTGACGGTCTGGGTTCCAAGGCTCCCACTGCAGATAGAGATCTCTGATACAGAGCTTAGCCAGATCAAAGGCTGGAGGATACCTGTCACCTCCAATAAAAGGTATGCTTACAGTATTAACTCAGTCCAGACACGTGCCCGGGGCCTCTGATTTTAGAACACAACGATTTTGAGAGTATTTCTCAGAATCTAAAATCTCCTGTTTGCCACTAGCTTTACAGTCTGCCTTTAGCCTTCATTAAAACATCCAACAATGATATCAGTAGGTTACATTTTATCCTAATCTATATAGTTTAAAAGTCTGTGGCTTTGCCTGGAGCATTAATCAATTCCACACAATCTCAGGGAATGTATCACATACTCGATGTGCAAAGCTGGGGAAAAGGACCTGGAACTCTCCCATTGATATGTAAACATCACTTGTGTGTGTGTGTTTGTGTGTGTGTGTGTGTGTGTGTGTGTGTATGTGTTTGATGCTCAGCACTGCCAGCACTCAAGTTTCTGTCTATGGTGATGAATAACAGGGCCAAGGAGGGAGTGAGGTCACAGAGGTTGGACAAGATGATCACTAAAGGGCTCTTCCAACCCAAACCATTCTTTGGGTAGTTATTCAGTCTCTGTGCAGATGCACTCTACAGCAGACCTGGCTGAAGCATTATTTACCAGATCTGAATTAAGTAAAAAACAACTTACTGTCCTATTGAGGACCATGTTCTGATGAACGGATTCTACAAGGAAAAAGTGGATAGGGAAAAAGAAGGGAGAGGGTGGCAGGGATTTTGAGCTCTGTGCCCATCATTCCCTCTTGAAAATACCCACTCTAGAATAACCATCATTTGGACAATTTGCAAGATTAAGAACTTCCAGGAACACTGCTATATTGCTGGATTTCAGGCGAAGTTGAAAAATATTACTGAAGAACAAGGTGTGACACCAGCTCAGATTTATATTACAGTGAAAAAGCCTTTCTGGCAGCAGTAACTGCAGTGCTAAACACTGTGGCAGTTCTAGCTAAAGCACTCGATTGCCCAGGAGAACATCTCAGCTACTGAAGAGCCTTAAAGAGACCAAACAGACAGCAGGGGAACAGAATTGCCCAACACTTTATGTGGGCATAAAACTAAGGGCAATAGGACACAATTTGCAGGATATTCCGATAATGAGCTCCAGAGAATGGGACTGACTGACCTCTTGATAGGTGGATATTTTTTTTGGCTATGACAGAAGAGGTGATGAAGATCTGGCACAAGAGAAATAGGTGTGTTTGCTTCAGTGACAAAGGCAGCGTTGCCCTTTGTGGCAGGCAGAGCTGTGCTAGGTGAGGAATGAATGGTTGCCAACTGCTTTAAGTTTCACTGAGCTTACCTGCTTCTGCTGTGCCTGGTGCTGCACCACTCCCTTAGGCACAGGTCCTGCTAAAACCAGTGGGGATTTTGCTGAGTAAACAGCTGCAGGATTAGGCTGTTGGTGTTTATTACAGCAGTAAACGTTGAGCAGCAAGCTCGGTGAGTGAGACATACAGCTGTGGCTGAGAGTCGTGGACATTTTGAAGTTAAACCCATTACACACCATGCTGGAAGCTTACCCCCTGGTTCTGATTTATTTGGCCAGCTGAAATAAAGATAATGGTCTGAGAGTCTGCTCTGTTTGCAACCTGGCAAGCTCTGCAAAGTTTTGATGCAAAGCATTTGCTGCTGCTTGGGTTGCATCTGAACTGCTGGCACATCTTCAGCAGGCATTTTCCATGGAGGGAAAGCATGGACACCATGTCATTCCCCAGAACTGCAGCTGGTAGGTCATGGCATTGTATGTCAGCAGTACAAACCCATGTGAACGGGAAAGGTTTCAACTGGAAATTAATTATCTCTTGTTTTATTGACCATTCATGTGGATTTCTTTAACTTTGCAGGGTATTCTAAATCAATAGTCAGTCTAGGACTAGCATTAGTTGTGCTCAGTCTGACATTTACTTTGTACATAAGGTTTTTACATTTCCTTTATTTTTAGATTTAGATGGCTTTTTACCTGAGATTTAGTGGCTTTTCATGTTGGTTCTTTTTTATTATTACTATTTTCCTCTTTATTTTTTAATCTGCTTATTCCACCACCTCCTCCATGTTTCCCAATATCCTAAACATGGGTGAGTTTTTTGATGAGTTAAGTGGTGACCTGAAGCACACGAGACATTTGGACTACAGGCAGGAGCTGCAGGTTGTTTTCCTGAACCCTCATTCCAGGACAGAGCCAGAAGACCACATTCACTTATTCTGAGCAATGGTGCAGCCTGGAATTCTTCAGAGTGCCTGCCTGGTCTGCCTAATACAGTGTTAGTGTTGCAGAGTAAAGATGATGCCTTATGTGATACCTGAGTAGGTTTGAAAGAGAGCAAGCAGAGTGCTTTTGTCTTTGGAAAAAACCCAAATCCAAGCATTTCCCAGCAGGTGGAAGCCATAGCATCACATTGCTCCAAACTTCATTTTCATGTAAGAGCCAGTATTTGCAATTTGCATGAGGTTTTTGATATCTATCCTTGAAGGAAACCCATGGATTCTTTCAAAAGTCCCTGCCAACAGGCTTAGGCAATTTTAAACTTAGGTTCAGTCACACAGAGCCCACAGGTCAACTGAAACTGTACCACCGTCCTCAGGTCTGGTCATGGAAGGACAGCAGGGTGGCTTCTTTGTTCCTCACCTCACACAGACAGAACTATCTTCTGTTCTCCTCCTGTTTGCCAGGGTTGGTGTCCTCACACCACTGCTTGTCTTCTCAGCAAGAGCTAAACATTGCTATAAAGTCATTCATCAACATACAGAGGTAAAATTTTGGAGCATTTTTTTTAGGGATTGTGCAGAGACACTTCAGCAACCTCCAAACTTCCCTTTATGTCCTCTGGCTCCCCGAGGCCTCGTTCCCACACACACAGAGTGTGGCTGTGCTGGTTCAGTTGTCTGAGGGGCTGAGCCAGATGGCAAAATAGAACTGGGTTTACAATAATCTTTTAAATGTTTTTATTGGTGCTGTTGACAAAAGAAACGCTTGTGAAACTCCTGCCTCAGCATGGCTGTTCTTCATCTGAATATAGCTGCTCCTGGTTCAGACCTGAGACAGTGTTTATATGCCCCAAATCACATCTGTTCTTTCCAGTCATGTTTGTTGATCCAATAAAATGTATTGCTTCTCCCTATAAACCTTGTCATGTTTGTAATTGTAAAATACTTGTGATTAAAGACATGTTTGCTTATCTAACTCCTTGAGTAATTTCTACAAAGCAATGAATAAGACAGAGTCTTCACAAAAATTTTACAAATTTCCCACACACAGTTCAGTTTGAACTGTGTTGGTTTTCAGCTGGTCTAAACTGCTGTAATAGCAGGAACTTGCTAGAGGAACAGAAAGGAAAAACCAGGCTGTTTTAATGCCAGAAACTAGAAAAAAACCCTCGTCTCCCCTATGTAAGAGCTGTAATACAATTTACCAGATCAGTCTGCAAATATGTGGCAAATCTTTATTATTATCAAGAGGAGAACTTGATCTATGGTGAGTGCTACTGCAGATATGAAGAGCCTCCCTTGACAGATGAAAGTTGGCTCCACGGATCATCTCGTGACTAATGCATGGTGCTTGAACCAGCATGGGCTGACAGAACTACTGCAGTGGGCTGCAAAAACCCACAGCCTCAGCAAACAATAGGTGTATATTTAAATTAAAGTCAAATATTAGAGTGTAGAAGAGGTCCAGGCAGACTCTGCTAGTCTAACAAGAACATTTATTTTGATTCCTCGTGCATCTGCAAAATAATTACCTTCGTCTTGAAGTTCCTGCACTAGCTCTGTGCACACATATTTACATGGGATGAGCTGCTCCAACTTGCATTAATAGGAATTTCAGGGCTGAAGTCTCCCAGAACAAGCTGGAAATTTAATTTCAGTACATATTTGCAACTGGGATAGCACATTGTTTTCAGGAGGGTCCCAGGGAGGCTGATACCACACAGTGTGACTTCACATGTGCTTCACTATCAGGCACAGAGGTCACTGGGCTGTGACCAGCTCTTCTTTGGTCCTGTCTGGTACTCAAGACAAAAGCAATAAAAGTTTGCCTGAGTTAAAAGCAGGAAAAAATAAACTGCTTTAGTTAAAGCCCTGTGTGAGTGCTGCCCCTCAGAAGAAAAGCCATACTTTAAGGTGAATTAAGTGAAACTGGATCCAAACCATTCCATTTGTGAGTAACAGCATCTGCACAAAGCTGGAGCACGCTGTAAATTCCCTCCTTTAGTTAATTGACTTTAATGTCCTATGGAGATAAGGCCTCAGAGATTTTTGTTAATAGGTAGACTGTATTTTCAAGATCTGTAAAAACACCAAATTGCATTTCTCCCTGAACTGTGAGTGGAGTTATGTGCAGCTTATTTCTGTAGCTTTCACTAAATCAACTTCTAGTGGTTTGCATTTTGTATCCTAAAGAGATTTTTTTTTTTCATTTAGGGGTGTTCCAAATGTTTTTTAAATACATTACTCTTTTTAATGAGTATTTCAAATTCAAAACCAGCAAAACTGATTTCTTTAGGGTTTTTTTAAACAGAAAATTAACATCTGGCCCGAGAATGTGATGCCTGGTTTGAGAGTGGAGTAAATTAAGAGAGACATACTTAAAGTGCTCACAGGCAGTGTCTATAACGTGGAGTTGACAGATCAGTGATTAGATCAGTGCTACCAGGCACCCTTGTAACAGGGCTGCTGGTTTAACTCAGCTCTCTGGCAAAGCCTTTCTCTGTGTGAAGTGTAAATTAAATATAATTCTGGCAACCTTGGTTCACTCCAGAAAAGCCAAAAAAGCAAGAAACAAAGTAGAAGGATTCTGAGAGAGATTCCTGTTGGTGGACACTATTGTTTTACATACACAAAACCAAAGACCATTTACTTGAGGCTGAATCTATATACTCAGCTAACAAGTGATGCATTGAAAATGTATTCCTAGCATATTAGATTCTGTAACACTGGGACTTTCTGTCATTTTGAAGAGCACAAGGGCTTTTCTTTGATACATTTTCAGTTTACTGTTTGCCAACTTCGTCTTAAAACAATTTATAACACAAGCAATTCTCTTTTATAATAGTTTTTCATAGCTGTTATTTCAAAGGAGAAGATAAAGGAACACAATAAACACAAAACTACCTCCCAAAATACTTTGAAAAATAAGAGACTTACCCTGTATTTCCCACCCTTGCTATAGAGGCTTCAGGTCCAGTAGGTAAAGGAGGAAGGAAAATTATTTCTAAGCAATGAATCCGCAGCATGGGGGCATAATGAGTAAAGGTGTGACCACCTACTGCTTAATACCTGACTTGGAAGAGATAATTCATGTATTTGTCCAAAGAATGAATAATAGCAAAAAAAAAAAATTGATGGTAAACTGGGTCTTAAAGCAGACAAAATTCTGTGGGGTGTGAGAGCACTGCTGTCATGTACAAATCACCCTGACACCTTCTCTGAGCTTTATGGAAAGCTGTTGTACTGTCACAGGTTATATTTTGCAAGGAGGACAGATAGAAAATGTTAAAAGAAGTGTGTCTAATGGTGCAGTTGTTTCTGTGGGGTGAGTGCTGGTCTCAACCACTCTGGCACGGTGTTACCTGAGTAACCAATGTCCTGAGAGGGAACCTAAGTGCCCAGTTTGGTTTTTTGGAAGCCCCATGTGATCATTACATGACTAAACATACCAGACATTTGCATGAACTGTATGAGATTTAAGATAAAATTATAATATATTTCTCAAATGCAGAGGGCTTAATGAACCTATAAGACAGACGTGGGAAGAGGTGGGGTGGCATTGCCTCATAAGGGAACCCCAGAGCTGTTAAAACAGATTTGGAGAGATGAGCAGACATACTTTCAAACTGCTGGGAGGTCCCACTCAAACAAAGAATTTACTAGAAGAAGTGACAGTAGCTTTTAAATTGAACAGTACAAAAAAAGCTCTACGAGCACCTCACCAAGATTTAGTGACCATCACATCCAAAACCGGGTTTCCTGTTTCCCACACAGCAGCAGAGGATAACATTAATCTAATTGAGAACACCCTGCAGCTGAAGCTCTGCAGTGCTGTAGGGAGCTCATGGCAATGCAGATAATGACCGTGGATCTATTTACAGGCCCACCCGTGACAGCGAGGAAGAAGAAGACGATGAGAAGAAAGGCAAAGGTTGTACCCTCCAGTACCAACATGCCATGGTGCGAGTTCTTACCCAGTTTGTAGCCGAGTCCTCGGAGTTTGGAGGCCACCTGACCTACATGCTGGGCTCTGAGTGGCAGTTTGACATCACTGACCTTGTGGCTGATTTCATGAAGGTAGAAGAGCCCAAGGTTGCTAAACTTCAAGATGGTCGAGTTCTGGTTGGTCGTGAGCAAGGCATCACCACAGTCCAGGTACAGCCTGAGGTGTATCTGCAGCTTCTGTATTGAGAGTTCTGGATGCTCACACACAAGAGCTGCTTAGCTTAGAAAAGCAATTATCTCAGAAAAAAATAAAAGAAAAAAGCTTAAAAAAATGGACATGCTAAACATAAAAGGAAGTTTGAATGGGTTTTCATTGTGACTGTTTGTCCATAAAATACCTTTAAGTGATGCTTTTGAAGAGACTTATCTTTATTAGTGTGACTGGCAACACAGTGAGATTTTCTGACCAGTGCAACAGGTTATATGATGCACACAGCTAGCTTCTTTTAACTTAAGTGGGGCCATGTAAATGTAACTGTTAGGAAATTGTGCCAAATATCTACATGCATCTTTATATACTTTGAAAAATTAGTCCCTATATATTTGCAAAGTGGATCACAAAATGTGGACACAAAAATAATCTTCAGACACCTTTCAGAGTGTTCCTGTTTACCACCTGTCTCTCTTTTTAACTTCACTCACATTTCTTAATCAGAATAAAGGAATACAAGATTTGGGCTCCTAGTTACAGCAAACATCTGTAATGTTTTGTTCCCACTGTTTTCTCTGCAGTCAACACAAAGAAACAGGTACTTTTAGGGCTCAGCTCCTTTCAGCCTAAAACAAATGTCACAAAGAGGTCAAGAAACTTATGCCCTTAAGTATTTTGGGTTGGAACCAGCTGATTCTGGCATCACTATAAAGGTATCTGTCTCTTTCTGAGCATGTTAGAAAGAAAGTCTTAGAGGAACTGGCAGGAGTGTTTTGGCATTGAAAAATGCAGGCAGACACCCAGTGGGGTTTTCAAAGTTCTTTTGCAAATCTCACTTTCATTTCATTCAGGTTCTCTGTCCCTAGAAAGGCAACAGGCCAAGTTCCTATCAGCCAGGTTTTGTACACTTATTTATCCCCCTGCTGAGTTTCAGTGTTAATCAGTGTCTTACACTCTGCCCTGTGCTGCACTGCGTTCACAGGGAGTTTTTCAGACCACACAAAAATGACTTTTTTTTGAAAAACAAGTCCATTTAATATATTCTATACTCCATTGTTGAGACAAAGCTGCAATTTTGAAGTGATTTGTTGCTTTATTAAATTATTTTTTAGATAAAGTAATTTAGCAGCAAATGACTGTAATGTCTTGGGGGAAACATCAGTTCTAGTTTACACACGGATGTGACAAACCCAAGATTAATCTGAAATGTTGTGCTGATTAGAGGCTAATCTTGCTCTACAACAGTTAGTTGCTATTTCATGCAAGGTGTTTGCTTTCTCTTTGAAGGTTCTGTCCCCTCTTTCGGATTCCATCTTGGCAGAGAAGACAGTGATAGTTTTAGATGACCGGGTAACCATTACAGATCTAGGAGTACAACTAGTTTCAGGCTTGTCTGTCTCCTTACAAATCAGCAAAGGAAATAAGAGAGCAATCGTTTCTACCACCTCTGCCTATGATATCCTTCACACTCCAAAACAGGTATGGTCCAAAATAGTATATAGAATTAATTAATGTGTTTACTGTGCTTTGTCAGAAGCGAGGGAAAAGTTACTTGCTGTAAATTTTAGAGAGCACCTGCAATGTATGGCTGTGAAAAGCAGTCACTTCACATAGTAAAGGCTGTTTATCTTCCTGACCAACTCCTGCAGTGCAAACACCTGTACAGAATGACCATTAAACTCTTCTTGGAGGTCTTGGAGACCTGTAGAGCACAGAAAAAGTGATGGACGTGTCCAGGAATGCCAAATGCCACAGAAAGCATGTATGTGTCACTCAAGACAGTTTTTCTATGGAAAAATACAGTCTAGTTGTGCAAACAGAGGAGAAAATCCCAGTCCTTAATAGTCTCACAAAGTCAGCTCACCCCAAAGAACCTTTGGCTCCAGGTACAGAAGTTTTCATGACCTGCATTGCTGAAATCTGATCAGTTTGTGAGGGATTAAACAACTTTCAATGAAGCCACAGAATAAATTCCACACGTCTTTTTTTATAGAACTGAGGTTTTACATCAGTAGCAAAAGCGTAACTGTATTTTTTGCACTAGCAATTTGTAGCAGGAAGACAAATTGTTTTGATCAAAACATCCTTGAAAATTGTGGTTTTGTGAGTTTCTGTTGTTCCCAGAAAAGACTACAATCACTTTTGCATAGTACACATCTTGTATATTTGAAAGCATGACAAAAGGTATAAAGTATTGTACCTCATTTGTTTGATGGGCTGGATGGGATCACTGGTCTCACATAACAGCTCTGCATGTTGTATTCCACATGGCACTGGAACTGCAGCATTAGAGACATTTCCCATTATAGGTCCTTTATGAAATTAATTAACCGGGACATTGGAAATATGATTATTTGCATCATGAGGTCCTGGCATTCAAAAGAGACTTCTCACTTCAGATTGAAAAAAAGAATTGTCAATTTTCTTTATCATCACCTTATATTAAATTTAGATGACTGTTTCTTTGGTAGTTCTTGAAGATGAGATAAATGTGGCCTAGAGAGCACAAATCTGCAAAAAAATGAGAAGCACTGCAAACATTTTCATTTTCTTTAAAAAAAAAAAAAAATAACAAAAAATCCCAAAGTTAAACTCTGTGTTTATTTTGGCAGTGCCAAACAGACTTAGACAACTGAGCATCTGATATGTTCTCTCTCTCACATTTTTTTCCTCATCCTTTTCCCCCCCAGGAAGCCATAGTCAGTGCTTGGATTCTGTTCAGTGATGGGTCAGTGACACCGTTGGATATCTATGACTCCAAGGACTTCTCCATCACCATCACTTCTCTGGATGAGATGGTCGTGTCTTCACACCAAAACCTTCAGTCCAGCTGGCCTGTCGTGGTGGCAGAAGGGGACGGGCAAGGACCTCTGATTAAAATTGAAATGGTCATCAGTGAGCCCTGCCAGAAGACTAAGAGGAAGAGCATTTTGGCTGTTGGGAAGGGAAATGTCAAAGTGAAGTTTGGTCAAAAAGATTCTGACCAAAAAGGAGGCACTAATGACATTGATGATGTGGAGAGGGATTTTAAAAGCCATGCAAGCAATTCTATAGAGAAAGCTGCAGAACAAGATAGGACAGCACAAGAATGGTCCAAAAACCACGAGGACATGTTCAGTCATGAGGACAATGCAAACAAAAGCACAACTTTCATGTCTCCCATTGATCAGGAGTCCCTGGAGGATGGACAGCTCCAAAATAACCCAACTGCCTTCACAGGTTTCCCTACACAAGTAGAAATACCAGGAGAAAACAATCCCAGTGATCTCTCATTGACTTCAAGAGGATTAACAGATTTGGAGATTGGCATGTACGCACTGCTGTGTGTTTTCTGCTTAGCAATCTTGGTCTTTTTGATTAACTGTGTGGCATTTGCTTGGAAGTACAGGCATAAAAGGTTTGCTGTGAGTGAGCAAGGCAACATCCCCCATTCCCATGACTGGGTCTGGCTCGGAAATGAGGTTGAACTGCTGGAAAACACGGTGGACATTTCACTCCCGTCGGAGGAGTGCACTACCATGATTGACAGAGGAATGCAGTTTGAAGAAAGCAACTTCCTCCTTAATGGGAGTTCTCAGAAGACTCTTCATAATCATATCCTCAGATCTTCTGAGTACCTTTGTGAAAAAGAAGTTAAAAGTGAACCTATAAATCCTTCTGGGCCAAAGCAGAAGAGAGTAAAGTTCACTTCATATACAACAATACTGCCCGAGGATGGAGGCCCCTACACCAACTCAATTCTATTTGACAGTGATGATAATATTAAATGGGTATGCCAAGATATGAATCTTGGTGATTCCAAGGAACTTAGGGACTATATGGAAAGACTGCAAGACAATATGTAAAACTACTTTCTTATGTTTGTAATCACCTTTATGCCTTCTGTTTATGGATGGTGGAGCGGTCAGACCAGTCAGCAATAGGAACAAGACAGTCCAACCTTGGAGTTACTGAGATGATAACCTGATATCAGTGAGCAGGTACAAGAGGCTGGCTGAGTTAATCCTGTTTCACCACAAACCAGGATGTGCCCCTAAAACAGCTACCTGTAGGTGTTGGAGGTGTCCCACACGATGGCTGTTTTTGTATACTGCCTGGTACTAGCAAAACGCTAATACAACTACGCTCAGACTCAGAGGAGACTTCATTTGTTTGTCATCTCTCATGATAAATGGTAAATCGGAAAAGGAAGGGATATTTGTTGGCATTGATTTTTCTAGTCGTCGTCCTTTGTAAAGCACAGTGGACATTTCTTGCTTACAGCCTGAAACGAGGCTTACAGAAAAAGGGATCGGAATGAATCTAATTTTATTGCCTATGTGCAATGCAGCCAAGAAGTCTTATTATTTTTTACAGATATAACCCCCCCCATGTGGTTAATTTCATCTTCTGTTGTTTATGAATTTCATTTGACTTAGGGAACATTAAATATTTTCTTTGAAGGGGTTTGTTTTCTTTTTTGTTGTACCAAAGTGTAGTACAGTAATATTTATAATGATTTGAGTTTTCTATTCATCTGCATCAGCCCCTAGAGATACCTCCTTCATCACTGATTATCTTCCTCCTTTCCATATGGGTATATGGGTCGTTAGTATTTGAAATATAGAAAGGTATTAGAACTCTTACTGGGAAAGGGTTGTATCTTCTTACAGGGAACTGTAAATATAATAATAAACCCTGGAAAATAAAAATCAAGGAGTAGCCCTGGGTTCACTTTTGTCATTGCTAATATGAAAAAGTAACCTGCAACAAAACAGCACATACTTCAAAGGGAAATGCTTTGCTGAAACAGCAGCTTGGTTGACAATACACGTTATTATCTGAATGAGAAAGTCAAATGTGGTATCGAAATGCATGGAATAGGAAGGAAGCTTCCTAGGAAATAAGCAAAGCTTGGATCTACTGTTACTCTGTACTAGTTAATACACTGGTGGTAGAGATTAGCAGGACAGAGAAGTTCATGCTCGACAGCTCATGCCCCAGACCTTGTCTAAAACATCTCTGTCCATAAAGCCATTAAAGAACAAAACTTTACACCATGTTTCATTAAAAGCAAAGAAAGAAAGAAAGAAAGAAAGAAAAGACACACTGGGCACGTTGGGACTGTGGTCACACAAGTGACTTAGCAATTTTAACAAGGGAAACATGCCAGAGATTCAAAGCTGCTATTTCATATGCATTATATGTATTTTTTTTTTTACTGAAAGGGTGACTGAAATATGTTGGAAGTTACAGTTAGGAAAAAAAAATAATCTACAGAATAATTAAAAAAACCAATAAAGCACATGTTCTTGTGATGAGTCATGTGCAATAAACACAAGATCCAAATTACAACTGCCTTCCCTACTATAGTTCCCACCTCTAGATCAAAGCAGCATTTGAATTTATAATTCAGTCTTGATATTAGAACAAACCAGACAACTTAACCATGGGAAACTCTGCACTTGGATCTTAAACTGGAAACATGTTTAAGGTAACTACTGGAAAATACAAGAATTTTAACGTTGAGACTAGAGAGTGAGGACACCAGGCTTATATAAGTGATTAGAGACTTATGTTTGCTGGCACTGAACTGCATAGGGAGGGGATAGCATCTGTTATAATCTAATTTTAAGGAAAGAAAATAATAGAGCACAGATATGCTTCTGTTTCATAAGGGATGCGTCAAATGAAGTCTTGGGTTGTTTAACAAATGTTCTCTTCCCTTTAAATCCTCCAGACCTCATAAGAAAATACGAATTCCTACAATGATCCTTATGACTAATAACATAAAAATCCCCTTTCAGAAGTTAACTTCTCTTCCCAACATTTTAATTTTGTATTTGGCCCAACCATGGGGCAGGACTGAAAAAATCATTTACTGCTGTTTGCACAATACAGTACAAGTTGACCACAACTAAATTTAGTCTGAAAATCAGAGGAACCAGCTTGCTGATAGTAGCTGCAGAGGGCAAACAGCACAGCTATTTCCTGACTGCATATCCCTCAGTTTAGCAGTGATCTCCCAGCAGTGTACAGGGCTGCCTGACCTGTTTCTGCTCTGCGGCCCCTGCTCTGCTGAGGGCACCAGCAGCTGCTGGATTCGGTCCCTGCTCGATGCCACAGAAGTTCACTGAGTGCCAAGGGACTCACAGGTGTCCTTGGCTGCTCCTCTGACTCAGCCACAGGTAACCGAAGTCAACAACTTTACTTGTTCAGAAAATTTCCCTTCCAGAGCTATGGCTCGAAAGACAGAGGGTCCCTAAGTCTGGGTTTTCTCTGCTGTCACACTGGGGTGTCCCTGGGCTTGTACCTGAGTCTTATCCCTGGTGGTCCATGGTGCCTGCACGTGGCTCTGCATTCAGGCTGCACGCTGGCAGAAGGACAAAGGCCAGACCCATGGGCAGTGTGGGCGTTGCTGGAAGCCACCAAAGGACACCTCAGGCCTTTTCAGCATTTACTTGCCACAGGCTCCCAAACCCTTGTGCTCCCGGTGTCTGACTGAGCACGTCCCTAATGCACACTGTGGGCACAGCGTGACAGGTAACGGGTCTGTGTTCTGTTGGCATGGAGTGGTGGAGTCCTAGTTCAGTACAGCATCTGTCAGCAGGGTTGTGAAGTTCTTCAGTGAAGTTCTTGGGTGGCTCAGTGGCTGAATTCAGGGCGTTTTTGGAGTCAAATCTTTTTCAGACATAGGTATCATACTAACCTAGAGTTAAATGACAATTACAGCCCATCAGAAAGGAGTACAGCCACTACTGGTGATCAGTCAAACAATGGAATTGGATACAGCTGTCCAGAAAAAGACTCATCCCCAAATCTTAAAAAAAAAATCTGCAGGTTCATAAACCTTTCTTTTACTTTTTCTTTTTCTTCTTCTTTTTCTTTTTCTTTTTCTCTTTTTTTTTTCTTTTTCTTTTTCTTTTTCTTTTTCTTTTTCTCTTTTTTTTTCTTTTTCTTTTTCTTTTTCTTTTTCTTTTTCTTTTTCTTTTTCTTTTTCTTTTTCTTTTTCTCTTTTTTTCTTTTTCTTTTTCTTTTTCTTTTTCTTTTTCTCTTTTTTTCTTTTTCTTTTTCTTTTTCTTTTTCTTTTTCTTTTTCTTTTCCTTTTTCTTTTTTTCTTTTTCTTTTTTCTTTTTCTGTCACGTTGTTACATGAAAGTTCTTCCACAGAAAAATGGCAATACTAAAAAAAAGAAAACAAGTGGGAAGAGAGAATTCTATTCTCAGTAAAACTGGTATAACATCAATGAAGTGGAGTTATTTTGGATTTATCCTGGCTTGAGTGCTTATGCTACATCTCAAGAAATCAAAAGCAAAAGAATTTGTATGAATATATTTGATGCAAAATATTTCTGAGTCGATCAGTTCTTTTTAAAATTAAATATCTCAAATTTTAATTTCAAAATGATGGCATACTTTTAGCAAATTTAATTTAAAATTATTTTAAAACCCCCACAATTTTCCCACTCACCTAAATATTTTTCAATTACACTGTTAAATAAAGTATTTTATTCATGAAGTATCTAATATTCCACTTTGCTGTTAAATGAACAGCATTTACACATTGATAAAAGAGTCTCTGCTTTTGAGAGAACAAAGCAATGGTAGCCAAATGATCAAAAGGCACAAAAATGTATGCATTTAAGTATGTATGGAGGAAAGTAGAATTGTCTAAAAAATAGAAACTATACTGTCAGATAAACTAGAATTATGCTTCAGTAGGTGCCTAGGAAAGCAATACTTGTAATTTAATACCAAACAAACATCTTATCTTACTCATGGCACGTATGAAGAAGACTGTGAATGACTTTCCTTGCCTGCTCTCAAGGAAAGACAGTGTGTAGTATGAATATATACACCAGGAGACATCCAGGAACAGACCTGGAAGCAATGAATTAATGGAATCTGAGGAGTCTGCAAACGTCAAAAATAAAGCTGATGCCAGACCCTCAACTCCTGCAGTCAGAGCTGAGTGACACGTGGCAGCTGAGCCCTGGCATGCAGGGAACAGAGAAGCAAGAGCTGGCAGTTCTCATTTGTGCAGAACTTTTCCTTTCATTTGTCCATCACACCCAGCCCAGCTCCTTGGGGCTTGTCTGCGCCTTCCTTCTCATTGAAGTAAGAGCTTAGGAACCCCTGCCCTGCTCTCCTCTTGCTGTAGGACACACAGATTATTGTTTCGAGCTGCTGTTTCTTAATTCATGCTGGGGAATGTACAAGAAGATCTTACAGCCATACGACACAGTACAAAGAGTCCATTATACAATGGAAAAAACCCTTGTATTTCAAGGTAGAAACCTCTATGAATGAAATACCAATTTTTCATAGCGGATATGCTCTTTTATGAAGTATAAATCATGTGCACTACATTGAAATACACTATAGTGTATTGTGAAATGCATACATTAATTGCTGAATCTATAACACTGAATATGTATATACATCACACCCGAGATATTTATACAATATAATAAGTCTTAGATGTATAACATAATGAATTCTGTACAAAATAAACAGTAAGTTAAGACAATGAAAGACAACTTTTATATCTGTGTAATTTGTATGCTCTTTAAGTTGTTCAAGCTTCAGTTTTCATCTTTAAATGTGCCCTTTAAAAAAAATACTTACTTTCCATAGGCAGATGTCTGAAATAAAGACTTCAGTCTTCAGAAAAGAAGCAAATGAAAGACTGAAAGAAATGGATTTTGCTGGAGAAATAAACATCACGTTTATGCGTTTTGGTTTTTTTTTTTTTTTTTTTATTTTTAAAATGACTAAACCATTTTGTGCTTATACTGGTCAGGGTGATCTGCTGGTTGGGTTGAGGGTGATGTGCCCTGCCAGGTGAACAGTAAACCAGCAGAATCACCAGTGTATGGATTGCTCCTGTGACTCCTTGCTCAAAGCAACACAAATGACTGGATTATACAGTCCGAGGGTTTGACTCAAAGTTCCCTACAAACAGTGCTCCAGCCCTGTTGCTGAGGTGAGTGATCCTTTCCCAGCACCAAATGTGAAAAGCAGATGAAGATACTAAACGACCAGTGTCTTGCAAAGAACAGTAGAACACATTTGGATTTACAGGAAAGGGTAACAAACTAATTCTGTCCCTTTAGCTCTCCAGTGTGAAATCACCACAGCTCAGATATTTGATTCAGTCTTCTGAATTCTCTCATGTTCCCATTAGAATCAAAGAGACTCAAAATTATTAAGTGACCACTGACCTCATCATAAGAGCAGCAGAAAAGTAGCTTGCTAATGCCAAAAAAGGAAATTTGAGCCTCAGTTTTTAGCTTTTGCTCAGGGTCTTGGAGATGGTGGCAGAGCCAGAAACACAGACAACCCCCCCCCCCGAAACCTGACAGGGTAATTGGGACTCCTGCAGCCAGTACAGCACTGGAGATCAGCAGTACCTCCATCATCCTTTTCCTGCTTTCAACTGGACCACCTTCTAGATGTGGCTGTAGAAACTCACTGCAAAGGTAGGGGCTGCCTTTGTACTAATGGGAGCAATTCAACATCACCTGAATGATTCACTGATCACTATTGCAATTTCCAGTGCATTGAAATGTGTTTTTATATAAAGTCAATTGGACGAATGGATTGAAAAATGTGATTTAGGGAGTTCCTCAGAGAACCTAAACTTTAACGTGCTTCAGGCACAAATTCCACCTGGTCACCACTTAGAGTAAAATAAGAAATGTTTTTTGTAAATGACATTTTTTGGTTTTGTGCTGGTTGGCCCCTGTTTGACCATTACTATGACATCCTTCCCCTTAGCAGCATCTTACTAAAGAGATGCCAGTGGCTCTATTCACACTGCAGTGCTCTACTCAGTATAACTAAAGGTAGCAGACTACAGGATTTTACAGAAAATAGTCTTCATGGTTATATTTCACACACACACAGAGACACACTGAACTGTTCAAAACACCTGCCATAGGGGTAAATTTTAACTGCCAGTGTGTGTGTGCTGTGAAACCAAAAATAATTACCTGCATTCATTTGGGAAAGAAACGGACCAATAAATACAACCGGGTTTTTTCTTCCAAAAAAAGGGAGCCCTCAGAATTTGGCAG